GTTGGCTGATTAAATTAATAAGTATTTGAATGTTTACCACCTGTGAGAACAGAAACTTTGTTTTGTTTTCTTCCAAAATAGAAACGTGTTGTCATGTTTTTCTAATTAGAAGCTATGTGCTTGTTGCAAAGAGCTTAGAAAATACAGAAAAACATAGTTAACTCCTAATCCTACAGGTCTATTAATGACTGTTGCCATATTGGTATATCCTTTCAGATTCCTTTTTTTGTTATTGTTACTGCTGTAGGTCTGGGTATATTGTTACCTCAAATGCTTTCATACTCTATATTGTTGTGTGTTATTTACTTTCAGTTAATACATTGTGTATATCTTTCCATGGAAATAAATTTTTCTGTATCCACTATGTAATCATTGTGGTGGGTGCATTGAATTCAGTGATGTGAATGTACCATAATTTCAGTGGTTAGTACTCTTTCATTGAACATCCAGGTTTCCTTTATCTCTCCAAAATGGCACGTAGATGGTCGTTCTTAACACATATCTTTGTATTCTTGCTTAGCGAGGGAAGAAAAAGGTCTCTTGTTTTAATTGCCTCATTCCCAGGAACTAATGCTGTGCATAGTAGGTTTGTAGTATAATAAATATTAGTTGAGTGAATGAATGGCTTAGTTATTTCCATAGGATTGGGAATAGGGCTTTTAACGTGGGGTAGGACGCGGTGGTTCAGGGAGCTTGGTGATTGGGGGTGTTGAGCTGCTTGGGGCAGGGCTGTATTTAAGCGGGATCATTCAGGTCCACTGAGGCCAGAGATTGTCTGCGAGAGCGAAAGGGGCACAGAGAAGGAGATGCCTTCTTCAGATATTTGTTGAATGCTTACTGCACACCCAAGGGCAGGCAAGAAAAAGCGCTTCCTGTCTTGCTGCCTCCTTCCCACGCAGCCAGCTTCCCTTTTGTAGGGAACCAAAGTTTCAGGCCAGCGTTGTCTGTCCTGCTCACCCTCTCTGTGCCAGCAGCAAGGAGAGACAACCAGATTCAAATTCAGGCTCCCCCACTCATCAGCCTTCTGACCTTAGGTTGCCTAACCCCTCTGAGCCCCTGTCTCGGCTCTGTAACTTTGGGGTGACAAAACAGCTAATAATACTATTTGTGCCTTGCAGCGAGTAAGAGATCAATAAGTGTTAGCTATTGTTAGCTAATATGATAAACTAAATAAGCTTTAGTAAATTGCCCTATGTTCTTTTGTATGGGAGAAATCCACTGTAAGCCCCAACCCAGTTTACTAACGCAATTGTAGCATGGTTGAGTTTCCGACAGCATGATCATTTTGTGTGTTAGGGACTACCTGCCAAGTGTATTGGTTCTTTGGGGAGCTCCTCCTTTATTGAGCAGAGGGAGCTGCGTGTTCTTGACCTCCTAGTTTTCAAGTTTTACCATTCCCTTGCACAGCTACCACTAAAGGACAGCACGTGGCCCCATGCTGGCAGGAATTGAAATTTACCACTACCTCTGCCTTCTAGTAGTAGTGAGAGATGTGTACAAGTTTGATGGGAAGCTGTTTTTGCACTTGGAGCCTGGAGAATGAGCTGCAAAATGTTGGTTGGGGGCTCTAAAACTTAAATAAATATTGCTTGTCCAAGTGGAATCAGTTGACTATCTCTCTGCTAACCCCCGGTGATTCATAGGTAAGCCTAAAACCTCAAAAGAGAAGGAAGGAAAGCAGGCTGTGACATTGTATGTGAGGCATTGTATATTACCGAAAGATGTGGAAATCCAAATTTAGTTAAAGGATAGAGAACGCTTTTTACCTGAATTAAAAAAAAAAAAAAGGGGGGCGCGTGGGTGGCTCAGTCGGGGTTAAGCGTCCGACTTCGGCTCAGGTCATGATCTCACAGTTCATGAGTTTGAGCCCCGCATCGGGCTCTGTGCTGACAACTCAGAGCCTGGAGCCCGCTTCCGATTCTGTGTCTCCCTCTCTCTCTGCCCCTTCCCTGCTCACATTCTGTCTCTCTCTCAAAAATAAATAAACATAAAACCCAGTTTTATGCTTTAATGTTTTTCTTCTATTTCTTTGATGTTATAAGCCCTGCAGCATGCTCAGGAACACCTGGGTTCTGCTTTTCACAGCTTCAACAGCTTCAGTATTTGGGGAACTTCCTTACTGCTGCCCCCTCTCTCTCCACCATTTATTAAGGGACAGTATTAGAATTATTGTAGTTAACAGAAGTCTCTGATGTCTTTCCTCTATTCTGCTAGGGCTCCCATATTTCTGAGTTGGGAAAACCAACTGAATGACAGTTGGTGTCAGGTCAAGATTTCTTTCTTTTTCCAGTTGGGACTTAGTTTAGACAAACCAAAGCCAACTGGGCTATCCAGAACTCTCAAGGAGTAAGTCTTTCTGAATGAAGGTTTTCCACATTGCTTAGGGATTTACATGCTCCTAAACTAAAGCAGTGGAGGTAAAACATGTGACCCTCTTTGGAATGGTTCTTGCGGCAGAAGTATCCTTCTTTGCCTTCCCAAGAGGAATGAAGGGGACGTGGTGAATGAGTTCTCACAGTGCCCTGTGAGCTATACCCTGAATGCACAGGCCCCAAGCAAGTGCTGCTCACTTGCTCTAGTGGGAGGGCTCCAGTTGAAATGTTAGGTGTGTGTATATATGTACACAGATACACTCACATGTACATGTACACACACCTACCTGTATCTATACACACAGATACACTCGCACATGTATTTGTATGTTTTTTTTTTTTTAATTTTTTTTTCAACGTTTTTTATTTATTTTTGGGACAGAGAGAGACAGAGCATGAACGGGGGAGGGGCAGAGAGAGAGGGAGACACAGAATCGGAAACAGGCTCCAGGCTCTGAGCCATCAGCCCAGAGCCTGATGCGGGGCTCGAACTCACGGACCACGAGATCGTGACCTGGCCGAAGTCGGACGCTTAACCGACTGCGCCACCCAGGCGCCCCGTATATGTATGTTTTAAAAAACATCATAGCACTATATAGAGTGAGAGTGAAATGAGAAAAGTTTGAAAAGTCAAATCCATACAATGATACATGACTTTAATGATAGGATAGGATTATTCTAAGTAAGCAGTGTGATTTTCATTTCACAGTTTGCATGATCACATTTCTTTTGTTACTATTTGCCTTTGAATAACAAATAATATATAAAATAATTTATATAAATATATATAATAAACATGATATAAATAGAATATATATGTATATATATATTTATATATACACATAAAATCCATTTATTTCCCCCCTTCTGTGGAGATAGTTTAAATGTTGATTGTACTATGGGAATGGCTATCATGGGAAGGATTAACCGCTTTAAAAATATTTCTTTTGGGGCACCTGGGTGGCTCAGTTGGTTAAGCATCTGACTTCAGCTCAGGTCATGATCCCGCGATCTGTGGGTTCGAGCCTCGTGTCAGGTTCTGTGCTACAGCTCAGAGCCTGGAGCCTGCTTTGGATTCTGTGTCTCCCTCTTTCTGCTCCTCCCCTGCTCGTGCTCTGTCTCTCTCTCAAAAATGGAACAAACATTAAAAAATTAAAAGAAAATAAAAGTATTTCCTTTCCCAAATAGAATAAGTATCTTACTGCATTTGAATTTGAAGTGCAGTCAGTAAGACTGGTTATTTAAGACCATAGAACTAAAAAAAGTTGGCAGGCAACGAAGGAGACAATTGGGAAAGAATTTGGGAGGCAAGGAGGAGGAAGGCAAGGCCCAGAGAAAAGCCAGCCCTGCCAGTGGGAGGAGAGGGGGAAATTTGAACAGATGGGTTGACAGAGGTCTGTGACATAGGGATAGGGAATGTGAGTGAATTGTGAAGGAAGGTGGCCTATCAGGACCCCATACAAGCAGTAGTGTTAGATCTCACCCGTGTGATCTGTTAGCTCCGCCTGAGTAGAGTAACTTATCTTACAAAGCAGCCTAGCCTTAGGATTCCAGAAGAGTCTTGTGAGGAAGATGGTTTGGAAAACAACGTAAGATGGAGAGAGCCCATTATAAGCATGTGAAATGATGAAATACTACACAAAGTGCTCAAACAGTGGTGTTACTGGACAGAGAACCTGTTCTGAACTCTGGTTTGGCTGCTCGCCTCTCAAAAATCAATACTTGAGAGACAGGTGATGGTGGGAAAGGAGAGGTTGGCATTACTGAAGAAGCCAGCAGCTTCGGAAGATGGCGGACTAAGGTCCCAAAGATCATCTTCTCGTCCAGGCGAAGCCGGAGGGTTTTAAAGAGGAAAGTGTGGGACACTGGGGTTGGGGGTGGGCTACCTGGAGGAGAAGGTGGTGCCCAGGCATTTAGTCTGCATATGCCGACATAACCTTCAACAGGCTTGCGGGCGCCAGCAGCAGCTATTTTCAAATGTCGTCAGGACTTCTCTTCTGGGCAAGACTGGTCCTTCTCTCCTCCAGGCCAGTGGTCTGCAGATCTCAAGGAAGGTAAGTGAGTTTGGCTTACTCAGACCAAGGGAGTGCATAAGCTTAATGCTGGTTAAGCCCTAAGACCTATTGGAGTGGTGTTACAAAGGCAGTTTCCTGCAGTAGATGAAGTAAGATGTGATTATAGCCTCTTGTCTGATACCTATGATCTCTTCTCATTGGCGGTGATGTTTACAGTGTGATGCTTGTTTTCAAACCATTGCAGGGTCCTGAAGTGCCTTCCAAATCATCACCAAGAGATTGAATTTTTAGGTTTTAGACTTCTCTTACTCCTTAGCTGATCCCTGAAATCTTTGTTTCCCCTCAGAGTAATGATTATAGTGCTTCAGGTGAACTGTGACTTTTCTTTTTTAATGATTGGGCATCTCCCAAGCCACAGTCCCTTCTTTTTATTAAAGGCAATATCAGACCAATTCTGGTGAAAGCTTCATTTGCACACTAAACTGTTCCTGCACGTTCTGTAGGCAAGATGGCTCAGAAGACTGATAGCCTGGGAGGTCGACCTGCAGCGGTCTGGGGTTAATGGGTCCGTAAATCAATGGCTCTAAGAGGATGTTTTGTGTTCCTTTCCTAGTTGGCCTGCTGCTGTGGGTCTGCTGGCTGCTCCCTCTGCTGTGACTGCTGCCCCAAGATCCGACAGTCCCGGAGCACCCGCTTCATGTATGCGTTGTACTTCATTCTGGTCGTCCTTCTCTGCTGCATCATGATGTCAAAAACCGTAGCTAATGAAATGAAGGAGCATGTAAGTCTGCCTCATCCTCCCTCCCTCCCTCCTTTTCTTTTCTTTTCTTTTCTTTTCTTTTCTTTTCTTTTCTTTTCTTTTCTTTTCTTTCTTTTCTTTTCTTTTCTTTTTCTTTTTCTTTTTCTTTTTCTTTTCTTTCTTTTTTTAATGCTTTGGATTTATTTATTTTGACAGAGAGATTTAGAGCATAAGCAGGGGAGGGGCAGAGAGAGAGGGAGAGAGAGAGAATCCCAAGCAGGCTCCATGCTGTCAGCACAGAGCCCGATGCCAGGCTCAAACCCACAAGCTGTGAGATCATGACCTGAACCGAAATCAAGAGTCAGATGCTTAACCGACTGAGCCACTCAGGCACCGTGGCCTCTTTTTAACTCTTCTCATTTGATGATGATTGGTGAGGGTGTGTGGGAAAACTTTCCCTGTAAAGGATGGGGCCCAGCCACGCTGGTGTGGGTAGGGGTATACTCATTATCTCCAGACCTTCCTGAAGCCTCTTCAGTGCTTTCCTGCCAAGCAGGGGAACCATTTAAAGTCTTGAACTTTAGCAGTAGAACAGATACAGTCTGTTCTTTGGTGTATTGTGTGTTTGGTCTATGCCTTGTTTATAACTGTTCCTCCTAGATGTACAGTCTTTTCTTGTAGACTTGGTACTTTTCCCTTGTTGTAAGGATGGCTTCCTTCCAGTGTCTCAAGTAGCAGCTGTTATAATAAACTCTATTTGGCCTCCTTGGGAAGCCTGATAAAGCTTAGAAAATTCCACAGATGATGAGGAGTGGGCAGTAGGGCGATTTTTACTTTGCTGACATGTCATTTGTGGTTCGGGTGTCTCCAGGGGTGAGGAGTGGATTTTTAGACATTTCTTGGGCAATGTATACAGAAGTAAGCCTGGTTTGTGATGCTGATGAAGCAGGGCGTTTTCCTGGACTTTCCCCATAGAAGGCATTTTAATCAGCCAGATGACAGGGGCACGTGTTGGGGTTTTTGAGGGAGCCCAGTAAATAACATTTCCCCTCTTAGTCTCTAAACAAATAGGCAAAAAAGACCGAAGTGTCAGTAGATAGATGCCAGACATCACCCTCTTTCCCTCATAAAGCTCATATGAGAGAGTATGGCTTGGATCTGCAGAGAAGTGGGCCTCCTAGTACTGAACCCCAAAACAAGTTAGACTTTTCCACTGAGGGAGCCTACCCAGGCGCCAGTCCCCCTAGGCTGGGCCATACTTCCCCTGCAGAGATACAGTTTCCCGATAAGAGTGGCAGGGGCACTCTTTGCCAGGGGCAGCTCTTGTCTAAGGGAAAGGGGGAGAGCAAAGGCTAGCTATCCAAACCCCATTTTCCTGGGGCCCAGCAGAATGAGGAGGGAGAGAAGGCTAGGGCCAGCACTCTGATGGAACCCCATCACCAGGAACAACTCCCGAGCAAGTGTCTCTTTTCCCCAACCTCACGCTGAAGCTACAGGCTATCTTAAACATACTCTCAGTGTAATGCCCCTGATTTCGAATCCGAGAGACCACCAAGGAGCCGATACCGATGGAAACGCAGGAGGGTTTATTTGCAAGCTCGAGCTTGGGCCCAAGTATACCTGACACAGCGGAGCAGGGACTTGGACCCCTAGGTTAAGAGGCGTAGCAGTTTTATAGGGGCCAGTGGCCAATGAGATTGTAACACACACAGAAAGTTGCATAGTCATGTCGGTCCACACGCAGGTGGCCAATTGAATTACAATTTACCCTATAGTTTGAACTAGCCTATCACTCTGGTCCTAATTGGTGCGCAAGTTTGGTGGGCAAAAGGTGGGGTTTAAGAATTGGTGTGCAAGTTTTGCAGGCAAAAGACAGGGTTTACATTCTTTGGCGGTTAGGGGTTCCGCATTCCTATATGAGCCAGTTTCCAGTAAGGGTGTGCTCAGTGGCTTGACTGGGGTGGGGGAGTGTCTTAAGCAATAAGTAGGTCATGTGGGGGTTATACATGAGATGGTGGGTGTAGCACAAAATGGAGTTAGTCTTGCTCTGCTTGTCCAGGGGTAGGGGATTTTTGTTAAATTCCTTGGGTCCCACATCAGGGGATTCAGAACAACCATTGCCTTAGAAACACTCGACATATTCTTATCCATTAGGCTCTCTGAAGTTTTCTGTTGTGCATTACTTTTTTTTTTAATTTTAATTTTTTATTTTTTAAAATTTACATCCAAATTAGTTAGCATATAGTGCAACAATGATTTCAGGAGTAGATTCCTTAATGCCCCTTGGCCATTTAGCCCATCCCTCCTCCCACAACCCCTCCAGTAACCCTCTGTTTGTTCTCCATATTTATGAGTCTCTTCTGTTTTGTCCCCCTCCCTGTTTTTATATTATTTTTGTTTCCCTTCCCTTATGTTCATCTGTTTTGTCTCTTAAAGTCCTCATATGAGTGAAATCATATGATTTTTGTCTTTCTCTGACTAATTTCACTTCGCATAATACCCTCTAATTCCATTAGTTGTAAATGGCAAGATTTCATTCTTTTTGATTGCCAAGTAATACTCCATTGTATATATATGTACACACCACGTCTTCTTTATCCATTCATCCATCGATGGACATTTGGGCTCTTTCCATACTTTGGCTATTGTTGATAGTGCTGCTATAAACATGGGGGTGCATGTGTCCCTTCGAAACAGCACACCTGTATTCCTTGGATAAATGCCTAGTAGTGCAATTGCTGGGTCATAGGGTCGTTCTATTTTTAGTTTTTTGAGGAACCTCCATACTGTGTTCCAGAGTGGCTGCACCAGCTTGCATTCCCATTGGGCATTGCTTTTTTAATTGTGAATGTGTGGTCTGGAATTTGGGGAAACTACTGTCAAAACCTGTGACACTGTACTTCTCCCCTGATTAATTTTTTTTTTTAATGTTTATTTTTGAGAGAGAGAGAGCGCGCGCAAGGGAGGGTCAGGAGAGAGGGAAACACAGAATCCATAGCAGGTTCCAGGCTCGAGATGTCAGCACAGAGCCTGATGTGGGGCTCAAACTCATGAACCATGAGATCATGACCTGAGCCAAAGTCAGATGCTTAACCCCTGAGCCACCCAGCTGCTCTGTGCTTTAAACATTGGATGTCTCCTCAGTAAGGCACTGCAGTGGGAGCTCTGGGGCATTCAAACTTGTGAGAAATGGAGCTTATCATCCATCAGTCATCTGAGGCATAGAACAAGGGGGAAATTAGTCAGTGCCATATGAGAGGATGCATGAAGCGCTTTGGAAATTTGGAGGTGGGGAGACCCAGAGCTAAGACTGCCTCGTTAGGCCACATCAGGCTGTACTGCACCTTGGTGGTAGTTACCACCAATTGTCTTCCGCATACCATGGTTTAATCTTGTATGTTTGTGGCAGGACGTTTGAGAGGAGGAAAACTGAAAGGGCATTTCATCTCCCTTTTATTACCTTTGTTTTTCAGGTAACGTCATATTCTCTTTGTCAATTCAGCAAGCATCAGTTTGAGGATCCATTGTGGTTGTGATAGGAATTCTCAGTGTGTGTCAGTTGTCTGTGGTGCATTTCCAGCCCTTAAGAAGTTTTCAGTCTTGATAGAATTTAGCTTTGGATCCAAGAAACAAAACCTGAAAGTATACAAATGTGTAGTGGTGAACCCATGAGCAACATTACTGGAGGTAGGGTTCATTTGGGAGCCACCGGTATACATTTTAGGACGTGACTTTCTTTTTTTAAATTTAATTTTATTTTAGAGAGAGAGGGTACAAGTGGGTGAGAGGGGCAGAGAGAGAGAGAGAATCTTAAGCAGCTCCATGCTCATGAGATCATGACCTCAGCTGAAATCCAGAGTCAGATGCTCCACCAAGTGAGTCACTGAGGCCCCCCTAGGATATAACTTTCATAATACTAATTTTAATATTTGATTGCCATCCAACAAACCTGCCCCATGAAATAGTCCCTGACAACTCCAGCTAGCATGTATGGTTTCTAAGTGTTGGTAGAACATTTAAGAAACAGAAAGCGTTTCACTAAGGGAGTGGTATCACTAAGGGAGGCTTCATGGAAGTGACTTGTGTGAGAATAATGAGTACTTTAATTGCTAATGTTTATTGGGTAATACCACACACCAGGTTTTATTCTGAGCAGTTTACCTGAATTATCTCGGTTCATCACTGCTGCACTCAGCTAAGCATTATTCCTGCCTTACATATGAAGAAACTGAGGCATTGCATCCTTTAAGTACCTTATCCGAGGTCTCCAGCTCTAAGGGGTACAGTTGGGATTTGAACCCAGGCTGAATGCGTTCTTAGTGATTGGCTGTGTAGGTTGACAGGAGGGAAGAGAACAAGGACGAGGCACGTGTAGAAGGACAGAGATGAGACATGGGGAGGTAAAATGACCTTGCGGAAATTTTATTGCCAAAGTTAGGCATTTGACCGTGGTCTGATGGCCAGTTGGAAGCTATTATCAATTCTTGAGTAAGAGTATGTCCTTGTCAAAACAGATGGATATTTAGGGAGGTGAGCCCAGCAGTCCTGTGTATGTACAGTGTGATTTGGGGTCATTGCAGAGGGAGGGACGGAGGAAGGGAGAGAGCGAGAGGGAGAAGGGGCTGCCCGGACACCTCACACTGGCTCTTGTAAATGTTTCTATGCCTGTCTCCTGAATGTACTTCTTTAAAAATGGTTTGGCTGGGCTTTCTGCATAAGGAATGAGGTCCCTGTGGGCGAAACCAATCCTTTTCCATCTTTAGGGCTTCATAGTGGGCAGGCCAGCTGGTCACAAAGTCAGCTTGTTTGCAGCCTATAGAGTAGAGGCTGACCTCATCCTCAGGCGATGCTTGAGGGCGGGCGTTGAAAGGTCCCCTTGTGGGGACACACACTGGGCTTCTGCTGCAGTCCTTCCCCCGCTTTGTTGGGCTGTGGTAACGTTTGAGGATGTGACTGGAAGAGGAGAAAGCGTGTGTGCTTGTAACTGCCCAGATGGGAGTGTATAATTGCCTCCCACCCGTCATTCTCACCTTTATGTGCAA